ACACTGGAAAATTCTGTCACCTCTTCTGGGCCGCAAATGTCACTTCTACTATATTACCCTGACCATCTTTCTTAAATTTATAACCTGCTCACACTTTTCTCATTCTAATTTCCACAGCACTTACAACTCACCTTTTTTAAAAAAGAATTATTTAATTTTCTTTAGTTGATTCTTTAATTTGACCAGAAAAGAACAGAGAGAGTGAGAAATGGCAAGCCACCAGGTCCAGGACTCAAACTGTGGGCAACCATATGAGAGTTCAGCACCCTCATCACCATACCACCTGCCAGCCCCACAACTTCCTTTTTTTTAGGGTTTTGCCATAGGGCACATGCACTCACCAGAGAAACAGGGAGAGAGACAGTGAGATGGAAAGCGAGAAATCATCCCCCCAGGAGGGATGGTCATACTGCAGTTCCTTCTTTTCCACTCTTCTCCTGGGATCTTGGGCAAGCACATACATGTGCCCAGTGTGATTTTTTTTTTTTTTTGAGAGGTTTTTGCTATAGGGCGCGTGCGCTCGCCAGACAGACAGAGAGAGACATAGAGACAGAAAGCGAGAAATCACCACCCAGGGGAGATGGCCACGCCACAATCCCTTCTCCTCCATTCCCCTCTCAGAATCTTGGGCACGCACGCACACGCGCCCGGCGTTGAGTTTTAAAGCCACCGGGACCAGGATACGAACCGCGGTTGACTACGTGGGAGTCCAGCGACATAGCCATTATACTAACTGCTGGCCACGCCCAGTGCAATTTTAAAGCTGCTGGGTCTGGGACTCAAACCATGGTTGGCCATGTGGGAGTCCACTTTGTCACAGTATATAATTTTTTAATTTGCCAGAGGACCTGTGTGCTTGCCAGAGAGACAGAGAAGGGGGGCAGCAGGCGGCATGGTGGTTAAGGGTTGGACTCTCACATGGACAGACATGGCTTGAGTCCCAGACCTGGTGGCTTGCTTACACACTTCCCTTCTCTCTTCTCTTCTTTTCTGGTGAGCACATGTGCCCCACAGCAAATTTAAGATAAAAATAAATTAATTAATAAAGTAATTCTTTTTAAAAAGCAGAGGGTAGGAGAGAGAAAGCATCCCCAGTGGAGCATGGCCATGCCACAGTCCTGCTCTCCCATTCTCCGCTGTTAGGGTCTTAGGTATGCGCACACATGCCGCAATGTTTTCTAGCCACACGGCCAAGACCTGAAGCACCTGGTTGGCCATGAGCGATCTAGCTCTCCCAACCACTGGGCCACAGAGTCAGTCTAATTCACTTATGTCTTATATACATAAAAATAAATGAAATGTCTAATTCCCCCTCCAAGAGAATGTAAACTGGAATGGCAGAGCTTTGATAAAATTGTTAAACAATTGTTTTGTTCACTGATTTTATCTCAAGTGCCTGAATAGAGCCTGGCACAGCAAAATACTTGTTGGCAAAATAAAGTTAGTTAAAAGATGTATTTCTTTATAATGTGGTAATTCTGTTTTTATTCTGAAATCACAAAATACAGAAAATCAGTGTAAACCATATCATCATACCTAAAGCCCTTTTAACTTTTCCTTATAGGAAAGTTTAGTCAGGAAACTATTTACAAAAGACAAGCCAACAATGAACTTAAATAATGAGCCTCGAAATCGTTTAAAGGAGTCGGAGCCAGACGGTGGCATGGTGGTAAGATACCACGCTGGAGCTGGCCCACACAGCAAGGTTCTGGGTTTGCGCCCACAGACCTCCCGAGCCCACTGGGCACTTGTGGACCTGTGATCCGGACTGGCTAAAGCGGATGGAGCACAGCACCAGGACTCTGTCGAGGGGTGGTGCCTCCCTGTTACTCATGGAAGCAACTAAAAAGGAAAGCCAAAGAACAAGGGCCAACTCTGCAGCACAGTGTGACGGACCCCAGGCTCCTGTGCATCAATGTCCAAAACCCTGATCAGAGGGGGAGTGGGGGAAAGGAGCTGCAAGGAGGACACGTCCCACAGGGTGCTTTCTCTTCCCTATCTCCCAAAGTG